CTGTTGAAATGATCATAAAATGTAGTACCCAAAATGTTTCTTACAAAGGTTATGTTTTCATGAATATTCATTCAGTTATAATATTATATTTTGGAAGGAGGTTGCCTTGCCACACATTCATTTCCCCTGTTATAATTGGTTTTACATTTGAAAACGTTTGCAATTGGTCAGTTACGTGGCCCTTGCCTTGCAGGTCATAGCGGTCAGTGAAGAGACTCAGGCTGCGAGCTGTCAATCAAACACATACACTGACACGCCCCTCTGGAGGATGACACGAAAAGGAACATTTCTAATAATCCCCTGAGGATCTTTTTTTTTCTCTTCCTATTAATACTATGATTTCAGTTTGACTTCATTGGAATTGCTAAATGATACATTAATACAAGACTCCCCTTCCCCGACTAAATCATAGAGCACAGTTCTGTTTGGCTGCTATCCCCACACCATCTCCACCCGTCACATTTTGGTGCGCAGTAGTAATATTTCACCAGCCCACACTGGAAATATCCACTTGCTGAAGCTCATCTGATGCTGTGAGTGAATCACACTCAGCCTGGCTTGTAGTTCTGAAGTTCAACTCTAAGGTGTCTGAGCAGCATGCAGCGGAAAATCCATCCAGCACATGTCACAAAAGTTGGCAGCAAGCTTAGATCCTCTCTCATGGCTTTAGTGTGAATTTAGAATAAGTGAGAGAAACGAGTGTAGAATGACCAAAGGGTTGAGTACATAAGGACTTAAAGTGAATCATTGCCAAAGCGTCTTCCACAGTAATGACCTGAACTAGTATGGATGTAGCCATCATCGCCCTGCCTTGAGGAACTGTGGCAGAACCATAAGACCTAGAAGAAGGTAGAGGTTGGTGAGTTAAATACGATGCCTTATGGATTAACCATATGTTTGAAAACGTTGGCCACTTCGACCACTTTGTACGTACACCCTCTGTATGTTTTAACGATGTTATCTTTTCTTCGCAACTGCTGCTGCGGGGACCCTTTAGACACTGTGGAGAAATAAGATGAAAAGTATCCATCTTTACTACTCAGTTTGGATGACAGGCTGCTCAAAAGCTCCACTAATGCATAAAACTATAAATTGTAATTTGATTTGCAAAACAAAACCAGCCAAGTATGATTACCACCATTATTGGTGTGACACAGTAAATCTACAATAACCAGTAAACTGCCCATCAACCTGAGTCAGTTCTGACACATGAACAATTAGCGAGCAAGCAAGCACAGGAATTCAAAAAGTTTGGTAAAGAAATAAATAAATGATCATGTGAAATATAAAGTCAACTTCTGGTAATATTATATTTGTTTTCATGTCTTTACAGAGCGTTAATGGAGGCCCGGTGAGATATTTCACAAGTCTGTCAGTATGCTGTCACCAGCCTGCCAAAAAATCATCCACTGGACAGGCAGTGAGTTTCCCTCATAGGCAGCCGTCAGCACAGCCGGCATCTATTCTGACGGGAGACCCTGAAAGAGTGACTTATCTCCGCTGGTGGAAGCTCTTAATGACACGTCGTGTCATTAAGAGCTTCCACCTCTCTTGCTGCCCGACCAATATGCTTCACAATTGCTCTTTTCAACCAGCCTACTCAAGGACTTGTAGCCAGAGGGGTAAAAAGGAGGTTGGGACACATTATACAGGACAGCCGACATAAAGAGATTTCATATTCAAAGTCGTCATATGGAGATACATGCATGCTCATGAAAACCTTTTAATCTTCACCCCAAATGCCAGTTAGCGTATGAAGCGGAGTTTCTCCGTTTCTTCCCCGCCTGCAGCTCTTGACAGTCCTGCCGGCCACTGTCTTTTTTTTTTTTTTGTCTCCTCCTTTCAACCAAAGAGAATGCAACATCATGCATAAATAAACACCAGCTTCCTTGTGGTTTACTCACACAGTCTGGGAATAGTAGATAAAGTAAAGCTCGAAGCATCTGCGCTGACACCAACACATTATTTGTTTCAATTTATTTCGCTCAGTAATGACGTTTTGTTTCAAGAAATGATCAGAGAACAATATTGCTTTTTTCACAAAGAAAAATACCGATTTCAAGTCTGAACAAGCTGAAGTGAGGTTTCCAAAGTAGTGATCTGGTGACTGACCTTCACAAATACAACACAGATGCATCCGACCCTCCTTTTCTTTCTTCTAGCTGCAGTCACTACTGAACTGCCATTTTTAGAAAATGAAATGAGTTGAAATGAGTGTCTGATATCCAGCGTCTCAGTATGCCAGAAACAGAAACACTGCGACACAACTTGTGTTATTTCCTTCATCGCCGGTGGCTATAGATAGGCAAGCGTGAAAGGTACTATGGCAACATCTCTGTATAGAAATATCAAAATAAGACTTTATTCAAGAGTGTCTTGGAACATTTAACAAATCCTACGTGTTCCAGCCAAAAGGCCTTCAGCGGAGAAAAGATCAAAACAACACCGTCTTCCAAAAAGTTATCGTTTCACTAATGTAATTGGATTTGTCAAAACTGACGGGCTGTCAGACTGTCGCAGGGCTTTTCTCATCACAGACACAAAGAATTATGGAATATCAGATGATTTATGACCTCACCATTGTTCAGACATTGTAGCTTGACTATATAAAGTATATATATATACGTATATATATATATTCTGTGCACTATAGAGAACAGGACATAATCCTTTTTCTGCTTTTCAACCCAGTGCAAAACTTAGAGGAATAAAAAGGAGGCGGTTCAATAACTTAAGTCTTTCTTATTGAGCCAAGAACTGGAGGTTTGTGTAATGTGTGTCAAGAGTAGCGACAACAAAATGAGATTGATTTTTTACAAATGAAGAGAGTTTGATATTAGGATTGTTGTTGCCCTGCACTTCTGCTTTCAGTTGATAGCCACTCATTTTTTCCCCTTCGCTTGGTAAATGGAATATCAATACGACTCTGGCTATCATTTTGATTCAGTATGATGCCAGCTACGGCTGCTGTGCATGTGAAAAGGTCAGATTATTTAAAAACATTGAAAAGAGCTCATTCATTGGCAAAGGTGCAACTAAGACATGAAGCGTATCGTCAGTGAAGTCGCTCTCGCATCAGCTGCTTCATTCACAGTCCCGTGGCTATCAGCTGATTAAGTACGTTGAATGATATCCATGCAGGTCCACAGCGTGGCCATCATTACCTGATACATAACACTATTGTGGTGCAGTCAGACTGGAGTCCGCTTCCCATTCATTTCTATGTGAAAGGGGGCGAGACAAATTTGCTTCCGGCTTGGAATTTATCCTCGTCCAATCAGATTGAACTCTGACAGCCGAAATTGCGAGGCCCGTTTTATTAGAAAGGATGCTGTGAAGCTGCAACGAGGACAGTGATGTAAATGACAGTAACATGCTGTATAGTTGCTCTTGCAGTTCATGTTTACAACCCTTCCAGTGCTGTTTGCTATCCCTCCTGCCACTCCACATGGTCTGACTGCAGCTTCACTCTGCCGATATGCACGTGCCAACGTTGTTTGCTGCCAGAACTCCCTCCAACACCCAAGACTCCTCCTTATGTGCTAAGTTTCTTGGTGTTATTGATTCAACTGGTGTTACAGAGCTAATGTTCACGTGTTTATCATGGGGGGGATTAGTTCTCCCTGCAGAGCCTTCCCTGCTAATGGGATTTTTTTGTGAGCTTGAGAGATTCTTTGTACAGCAAATCTATCTGTATAAACATCTGCTATAAATGCTCGATTCCTTGAAGTGTCTCCGGCTTAAGTTTAGTCATGAGTAAAAGGATATGGAGCTCAACTTCTGACACCAGGTGAACTAAATCATGTATAGGGGAAATCACAGTTTTTCTCACACACACACACACACACACACACACACACACACACACACACACACACACACACACACACACACACACACACGTTAAACCCTCGAAGCAGTGGCTTGAGACTCCTTACAATTAAGAGAAGCCTGACAGACATTTGGGTGCCATCATTACAGACAGGGAGAGATGACAGGGAATGAGTCAGAAAGAGCCCCAGCTGGACCTGCTGAACTGTGAGCATCGTCAGGATGTTCAGCGTATTAACCCTTATTACGGATGTTATATTTATCAGAGGAGGCCTTCGGGCTGAAAACTGTTCAGTAATTCACAAGAAGTTAAACTAAAGTTTGAGTAAATTCAGAAAACAAAATGTCTCATGACTTCCTGACTCAAGTTGAAAGCAGCTACTTCCCGTGTGCACCTTGTGTCACAGCTCCAATTCGGCAACATTTTCAGATACAGCACGCAAGAGGTACAAAGTGAGCCAGCCAATCAACAAGAGGCTCAGAGGGGTCATGTGTTGGAGCCCAGACATCTAAACCTGAGCATTGCCAGCAGAATAGCTCTGCATGTATCAGCCAAGACAAACAATAAGCATTGTGTGAATATTGTAAAGGGACATGAAGCGCTGTGTGTGAACATCTCACCTCTGGCTCACACTCATGTCTTGCTGCTTGAGGTGACCCACCAGCTCATTGGTCACCCAGCCAATCACCTTCCTCGGCTCCTTCTTGGTCGCCTTCAGCACGGCCTCGAAGTACTCCACCAGCCCGTCCTCATTCTGCAACAACAGCGCCATGAAAATGCTTTCAGCGCTTCACATGCATATTATAGAATTAGGATCAGATGAACCCAGCAGAGTCCAGCAGTATGCAGCAGCCAAGCGGACTCTGCTTGGACTTGATCAGATGGCAATTAAAAGAAAGACGCAGGGAACAGATTTAGTGAGGGAATCGACTCTCCTCTCTCGCCCACTGATAAACTCACCACCAGAGTGAAGCCGTGCTCGGGCAGGATGCCGTACATTTGCACCAGCCTGTCTCTTTTGACACTGGGTAGCTCTGGCAGCCCTGCCCTTATCTTCTGCACCACCACAGCCTGGCATGCATCAATGCCAGTGGGCAGCGATACGATATCCTCATACACAATCACAGGGGGCAGGTTGGGCTCTGGCATAAACCTGAAGGAAGGACAGGTGGAGAAAGAAAAAAAAAGGGAGGGGGAGGGAGGACGCTTTATCACTAGTACAGATAAGCTCAGAGAAGAAGAGGTTGGCTTCTGTTTAGATGCTAATAGTCCTCGACTGAGGTTCAGGCCTTGTTTATTTCTCTCCATCTAGCTGCCACTCTGAGGCTCTCATCCTCTTTAAGTCCCCAATGAGAGCAAGATGATCTTCTGATATCATGAGTCCAGGTCAATAAACACAAGCTCCCGGGACAAAAAAACGAGCAGAGAGATGCATCACCTGTAGTCCTGGAGACCCTCTTTGTCCCTCATAGGAATGGTCTCCCTAGAGAAAAAGATGCAGACATTAAATTATTAACCAGAGGAATTGTAGCAAAACAAAATCTGAGATACCCTCAGGAGCTCTGCAAGACTGCTTAGAGGCCTCGCCTTGCTGCGGTCCAGCCAATAAAAAAAAAAGAAAAAAGACTGGGAACATATGAGCAGGGATGTCTGCCAGTCAGCCTGGCTATCTCAAAGTCAGTGCAGTCAAATCTGTCGTCACCTTCACAGACAGCAACGAGAAGAGCCAATAACAGGCCATCACACACGCTATTTAACACGCTCCACCGTGTACCCCGTACATGTAAAAAGGGCCACATGGGAAGAAGGCAGAGCACCAGAAGACGATCAAGGCCTCAGCTGTGTGCGCTCCGGCTCATTCTGCCAGCTCATACATAAGCCTTGCGAGTAGCACATAGCTCACAGATAACACGGGATGATGGCGGCATCCAAATGGCTCTATTCATCATGATTACCACGATGGTTCAGGACTAATGATCCAGGCAGAGCTCACAGTCAGAGGGTGTTGTACTGGCTCAAGCTTGGCATCGCGGCCTTGCTCTTTCATCCTCTTACCCTGATTTGGAATCATACGCCCGGGTCTCATTTTGCACCGTACCCCCTCTCTGCAGGACTTCGGTCTGTCTCTGGATCTCGTAGTCTGGTGATGTAAAAGAGAGCATGACCACAAATACAGTATTCAATATAGCGCCAATACACACAGATACGACGTTGTGGTAAATGCCAAACATCTGCTGTGATACACTGGCACTTCTCAGGTCTCTGTCTGCTGCCACACTAGAACTGTGATAAACGATGTTTTCCTACATGACTTTTAAATACCAACTTGGCAGCGGAGTAGATGTGATACAACTTTATTGATAAATAATTAAAGCGAAGCACTACGGCATGTCAAACCGTGCTTCTTAAAAAAACCTGCACGTAAAATGCTGAAATTTTCTGGCTGTGGCTCTTTGTCAGCTTTTATAAGTGAAGCTCAATCACCAGTCGGTGAAGTTAGAGTTGACATAAAATCTATGCTTTTTTTTTTTTTTTAAGTGAGCAGCTGCATGAAGCCAATTCAGCATCACACGCTGCAATCACACAGCTAATTGTTTGTGACTGGTTGTCAGTCCAAAAATGATGCTTCACAAGTTACTGTCAATATTAACTATGCTTCCTGTCTTAATGTCTCCTCATAAAACCAGCTATCTCCTTTTCTTTTCAACAAAAAACTAAATCTATCATTAAGTTTCAAAGTAATGTTGTACCTGACGGATACAAGATCGCAGGACTGTGTGTATGCATGTGTTGGCTTCTTTGAATGTGTGCGTGTGTCTGACCAAGTTTTTGTCCTTTACTTAAGTAAAAGGAGCAATACTGTGACAATACTCTCATTACAAGTCTTACATTGAAAATATTACTTTAGTGTAGTACATATAAGTAGTATTTGTAAATTATGCATGATTAATGTATATAAAAAATACTCATAATGCAGAAATATGAGAGTGTTTTCATATTTTGTAATGTGTACGTAGCATTTCCCTGTTTTAATTAGTCAAGATAAAGCTTTAAATATATAATATAATGTGTAGATTGTAGTGGAGTAAAAACATAAAGTAGCATGAAACGGTAATACTCAAGTAAAGTACAAGTAACTTGCCATTTCACAGGAAGTTACCTGCCAAACTATTTCTGGACCAGGACCAGTTGGCATGAAGACACCAGGAAGTCACTAGTCCAGGCCAAGAACTAGTCCGGTACGTGATGGCCTTTAAATTGGCAAACTGTTGTGTTTGAACAGACGAGACACAGTGTGCTAATCAGTGAGCTTCAGAGGTGCTGGTGGGCGGATTTTGTTAACTTTGGACAGAGATGGGCTAGCTGTTTCCCCCCGTTTCCAGTCTTTGTGCTAAGCTAAGTTGGCTGGCTGTAGTTTCATATTTGTTGTTCAGACATCTAAAACAGTACAGAACTCGAGTAAATGTACTCGGTTACATTCAATCAATGACCTATTCTTACCATTTACTACCAGATTGACTTACACATAATTACACACAAATACTTGAAAAGCTTTCAGGGTGACACTCTCAAAATCTGTGCGTGTGTGAGACATCATGCAGCCAGTTGAGACCCAATCACATGAAACAGTGTTCAAAGAGCCTCCCTAAATACCTGTCGCACCCTTAAGCCAGCCTGCTTCCCTTCCTGTAACATTTTGAATGTACCTATAGCCCTGGCCAGGTATCGGACGCTGTTGATGTTCTTCACCTCTGTCCTGATGCCCAGAGGCTCACCTGGCTTGTGGACGGAGACATTGGCATCTACTCTCAGCTGTCCCTCTGTGGAGAAAGACGGACGACATGCACGCCGAGCGGGAAATAAGTTTGGGTTGAGAAGTTTAGCAGCTCGGGG